TTTCAAACATCCTCTATCATAGCTTGCAACATTTTTTGATCAAGTTATTTGATCTTTTGTTTGATGATTCAAACTAAATGATTTATATTCTTTCGAACGGTATATGATAACTTGTTAATGTTCATCCATAACAAAAATAATACGCGGCGACAGAGAACATTTGCACAACGAATTTGCAACTTCTATTGTGATTCTGGTAATATCAGAAAAAAATATTATTTATTTTTCGTGTTGATAATCCTTGAAAAACGTATCTCAAATTGATTGAATTAAAAAAAAATAATTAGGAAGCAACAAAATATAAATCATTTACTTCGAACCATCAAACAAAAGGTTTAAAAACTTGATGAAAAAATGTTGCAATCTATGATAGAGAATGTTTGGAAGAAGTTTTAAGCTATATGATGAAATTCACTGTATTCAATCTATTAAATATAGATTTTTCTAGTATTTATTCTGTTCTTTCTAATAAAAAAATTAGTTTTTATCTTCGAAACTGGCTGAGCTGTATGAATTGACATTTTCCCAAAGACTTTCGCGTCCGTTATTAATTCAAAATTCTAAAGAATAAATTTATCATATGAGCTTACATATACATTGATCGATTTAATATTAGTTGTCGATTAGCAAGAACATAAACACCAGTTCGACAGATGTTGATCAATTTTTTAAATACACATTAAAGTTGTATTTTTCATGTTGTTTTTCTCTTGTTAATAAAAGTTTTGCAACAGCTGTGTGTTAAGATAAATTATTTGATAATAAACGACGAATTGTACCATTATCAAGTTCAACAAAATATGATCTAAAATAAATCTTGTTTTCTATTTCGGAATAATTTCTTGTGTTTTATCCATACTCAGAATGCATATCTGGTCCATTAAGAGTTAATTGTCGTAATTGATGAACATTATATAATATAACTAATGCTGGATAAGTTAATTTTTTTTTTGCAAATATTTCAGGAATTGCAACTTCATATATAGCAATAAATTGGTCAGGAAATATGACTGATTGATCAGCATAATTTACACGTTTATCCTTCATATGCATACGAAATAAAATTTCTTTTTTATTCAATAATCTTTTATTTTAAGAAAAAATAAAATTTCTTAGAAAAAAATATCGAGATATAACATATTTGTCGAATACTTTTTGTTACTCGACTATCACTTCGATTATCTAATGAACTATCAAATATAGAATTAACAATAATTTGCATTTTAAACTAAAGTTTATTAAGTTTTTCTTCATTTGTTGTACCAGGTAATCTATTAATTAAAGAAGATGAACGATTCTAAATTAAAAGAATAAACTAATAACAAAATATAATTAATAAAAATAGTTTACAGTATTCAATGCTGACACATCAAATGTTTGTTTATCTTTTAATAATAAAAGTTTTCTTTAATTAATTGATTATTTTGAATAATTAATGAATATCGAATTGTTTTGAGATTTTCAAATTTTTGTGAATTAAAAGACAAAACTTGTGGAAAAAAAAAGAAATTTTATTATTGTTTAAATAATTAAACACATACGAGACGAAATTTTGATGGAAGAACAGGTGAAACTTCAAAAAGAATAAATTTATCAGACTATTATGAATATTTATTATTGAATGATTTGGTGATCGTAAACTAGCTTAGATAACTTGCAAGAACTTCTCTTTCATTTGTCGAAATTTTTTCTAAATGTTTTAATAAATCTAATGGTGTTAAATACATTGGACGAGACATCATTTTTATTAACACTTCTTCTTGATCATCAACATTATCGATTGATTCATCATTGATATCAATTTTGTTTTTTTCGTTTGCCTATAATTAAGAGAAAAAAAAATCAATTGAAACAAAAAGAACAATCTATAGAAGTAACATTTCTAGATTTCAATTGAAAATTGTTTGGAATTTTCAGCAACTTCTGGGTATACTCTATATGTGTTCGTGCACTTGTACCTCATTGAAGATTTTAAGATTTTGCGGCATCTCCGGTTCTGCAGATTTCTAATGCTTATTTCATGCTATGCGAAGGGACAAAGAGTCTAATTAGTCAGATGTGGATGCAAAACTAGATAATATATGTGAAATTTTAAAAAAAATATACTCTGTATTGAAGTGATACCAGTTAAGTTCTTATGTTTACTGAGAGTGAAGCGAAAGCTGATTTTTGCCTTTCAACGTTCTTGTGAAAAAATAATTTGTCTTTGTCAGCGTTGCCCTAACCCATGTGATTAATATATATAATATTTACCAAACACATTGGACATGCGTCATTCATAAGCCTTTATTTGTTTATTTGAAATTCGTTGAGAATAAAAAAAAGTCTTATATGTGAATCAGCACGAAGTGAACGTACAGATATATTACAATTCGGACAAAATTTTTCTAAAAAATAAACAATAGATTTAAAAATTTCAATGATATAAAATCCAAACTTTTTGTTTTAAATGCTCGTGCTTCGAAGTCTTTAATAAGTTGTTGTCGAATAACTAGTAAATTTTTGCTTATTGATTCGATTTTAGATGATGACGGTGAATTGGATTTCATATGCTCATTTATCTATTCATAAAATCTATCTAAAGATTTTTTTTCTAGTATTCATCTTTTATAAAGTTATTGTAAATTATCTATTTCATTTGTTTGAGACCATGTTTTAAATAAAGCATTTCCATATTAAATTAATATTTTTCTACCTTTGAAGACTGAATTGTATGACAATGAAGACAACAACAATCAAGAAGAACCTTGAAAATTGCAAAAAAATATTAAAAAAAAGAAGATTGAAGAAAATTTATTTATTGTGATTTACATTAACAAGATCGAAGAAAGAAATACGGGATTGTAAACACGTAAAACAAGTGATATATGTCTAAAATGTCCTGGACAAGCAACAAATCCCTTGATCACAAGTAAAACACGATCATTTTTTTATCAAAGGATCCTAATGCTAAATCATATGGACTATCAGATACTAGTGCACCAAGATGATCAATTGCTTGTGATGATGTGAATTCTTTTACACTTAAACAACGAATTTCTTCAGATATATAATTACTAAATGGAAGACTACCAATTGTGGTATCGGATGGATAATAATTGATTGTCTTCATCTCGTTTTCTACTTTGAAAATAAATCAACTAAAAATTTATCGGATGGGTTTCAGATCCCTCTCGAACGTGAATGGTTCGTTAGAGAGAGTCGGTTAGAAATTATATGGAAATTTTTATATATTAAAAACTCAAAAAATTTCATTTTAATAAACGAGAGATTTGATTTATATCAAAAATGAAAGTTTTAATTTCTCCGAAAGAGGACGCCACAAGATGATGTTATTTTTTTTATTAGTTCGCAATTCAACAGAAACATTTCCTTTTTTTTTCATAGCTAACATTCTCTTAACAAACGTATTTAGAATAGATGCCTCATATATGTCAAACTAGAAAGTTAAATTCAAGTATTCAACTTTCAAGCAGATACCAAGTGATTTGTATGGTTTTCAACAATACTTTAAGACAGATTTAGAGGATTTGAGCTTGTTTTAAGAGTTGTAACTCAGCATTAACAATACGTGATCGATTTTTTGTTAATAAGTATAATTTTGTTTCACTTAAAAAGGTTTTTTATTCATTGACTTTCTAAATCGGATTATGAACAACTTGTATATACTGCTGTTGGATGATATTCTCGTCGAAAAATTCGTTTATTACCATCTTGTATTTGGTGGAAATTAAAACAATTATGGACTAGAAAACAAGTATTTTTGTTAATTGAATTTTTTTCAATAAAAACTGCTTTTTTTTCTCAGATTATTTCAACAATTCTTCTTTATATTCAATCAACTGAAGAAGCACAACTTAATATCGATAGTAAATCAAAATTTTCAATGAAAGTAAGAAATTCAAAAAAAAAACAAAAACAAAATAATAATAAAAAAATTTATTTAGTTATAATCATCAAAACTAAATGCAACAAATATTGATTTAATGGCTGATACAGATGTAATTATTCGTCGTGGTCATCTTTTATCAAGTTTAATTGATAAAGTACATTGTGGTTCAATACTTGCATCTATTGTTCATTGTTATTATGAATTATATGGAAAAGATTATGCTGCTGATCTGGTTACTAAATTTTCCAAATTATTTACACTTTTTTTTTACAATATTATTGAGGTTTTACACTTGGAATTGAAGGTAAAATATAATCTCTGAATTTAATTTATTTCTAAAAGAAAATTTATTTAGATGTTCTTTTGCTTCCACCTGGTGTATAACATTGACGTCGATCGATTAATAAATGCATGTCGTATTCAAGCCGGTTGAAATGCTTTACAAAAAACATTTTCTTTTCCAGAAAATTCTGATGAAGACATACTTATGAATGAATTTGCTAAAGCATTTTGTTCTTCTAACATTTGATGAATGTATATAAAAAGAAATGAATATGAATCGTAAAAGATCAATTGATGAATATAAAAATCAAATTATTAAACAATGTATGTCTCATTTATTCAATCAATTTCCACATAATAATTTACAACTTTTAATTCAATCAGGTGCCAAAGGTATGTCGAAAGTGCATCTTTTAATTGAATAGATCGAATCTGGTCGATTGCAAAGATGGTGATCTCTAGATGGCTTTAATCACTATTGTTAAGAGAGCTTCCGCTTTCTAAAAACGACTCATCAGAAAATAGTCAAGTAGATTTTGATGAGTAGAGTAAAAGTGCTGACAGACTCAAAATTTCGGCCCAGTCCGGAAACTTACCAAAATTTCTAACTGGGCCCAAATTTCTCACATAAATGGTCTTATTTCTATGAATCACCAGCAGGCACTTAAATCAAATGACAGTTCTAGGGTAGTGTTTAGCAAGATTGTGTATTGCTAAGCAGTATGTCGTTCTATTGGGCACTACATCTTAACAAAAATGCATGCGCTATGCACTACGAAGTGTATCAACTTTTCATAGAGTTTCGGATTTTTAGGAAAATTAATGAGAGGAATTTGGACTTGGAGCGATATTTATGTAATTAAAAATTCTCGGATACTTTCTGTAGAACATATTGTAGTGGCAAGGACTAAAAATGACCTTTCTTAAACCCTTTTTCTCAACCGCAATACTTTCGATAGGGCTGGACGTTTTTTTTATAGATATTAGACACTGTTTGGAGTACCTATTTCTTTTTATCTTCTTCTATTCGAATAAAAACAACAAAATTCTCAGAGCATTCTCAAAAATGCATTTCGAATCTTTTCAGATTTTCCAATCTTTATAGCAATTCTTGAAGCATACTCGGCAGATAGATGACAGTCCGAAGGGCATATAGACCAGGAAAAAATTGAAATAAGCAAAACAGTTCCATTGATTTGAATATTGATGTATAATTTAAGTATCATCTGTAAATGCAATGCAAATGTCTTGTTTACTTAGTCAACAAGAATTGGAAGGTAAAACATCCACCAATGATGTCAAGTTGTCGAACTCTTCTATCATTTGGTTCATATGAATATTCACCACGATTAAGTGATTTTGTTGATAAAAGTTTTTGAAGTGGAATTCGACCAGAAAAATATTTCTTTCATTCTATGGCTAGACGAGAAGTACGAAAACTATAACTTTCTTTTTTTTTTACTAAAAATTCTTTTTTTTTTTTTATCAGGTTCTCATTGATAAAGCTGTAAAAACTGGCTTGTTTTGATTATTTACAACGTTGTTTAATGAAACATTTTGAAGGTTTAGTCGTTAATTCTGATTTAACAGTACCTGATAGTGATGGAAATGTTATTCAATTTTAATATGATGAATATGGTTTAGCTGTTGAAAAATGTACTTATTTAAAAGAAGCTTATTATCAATATCTTGTTGCTAATTAATCAACAATATAACATCAAGATGACTATTGACATATTATTGATATGTGTGTAGTTCAACAAAAGAAAAACCAATAATAAAAACTTTAAAAAAAAATTCATGCATGAAGAAAAAAAACTCGAGAATTAGCTGATGATGAGAATTTTGATGATTGAACAAGATTAAAAAATAAATGATGAAACAAAAATTCGTATGACACCATTTATAAATTGTTCATGTTTTTTGATTTACATACATTAAGAAATTCATTAAAAAAGTAAACATATTGATGAAACACATTCAATTATGATTCAAACATCGAGAGAGATTTATCGAATGATAAATATCAACAATATAATCATAGTCTTGTCAAATTTTATTCATGGGTTACACAAAATTATTTACCAGCATCAAATTTAGATGCTATTAGAGAACGTTTAGATAATTTAATTAGAAATTATATAACTGCACATGAAAAATTAGATCAAACGAAAATGGATAAACGAGTATTTGAAAGAAATGATGTTTTTTAAATGACTTAAATCATATATTGATCCACGAGAAAGTGTGGGAATTTTAGCAACACAATCTATTGAACAAACCTAGTACACAAATGACATTAAATAGTAAATAACGTTTAAATATAAATTATACCATAGTAATTCGGAAATACCTAAACAAATTATTTTTTTTTAATCCTTGATCAAAGCTGATTGTTCTTCTATCGGAAAGAATGAGGATAAGAAAACTGACTTTACTCCTTGTAGAAACGAACTCGATATGTGATGGTTACATCTTACATTTATTACTACTTGTAATTCATTTGTAAAAAAACCCTTCATAATTCATCTGGAGCATGGCGTAAAAAATGAAAAATTAGACGAAATATTAGTTATTTATTACTTCATAATTGGTAAGAGAGCAGAGGAGAAATTATAAAAGTACATGAGATGATTCCTTTCATGATTTTTTTAACTAAATAGTTGTTATTGGAAGATAAAGAGAAATTGTAGAAGTATTTGTAACCTGTTCAAAATAGATTTTATGGACGAACCTCTTTTATTCATATGGAACAATCTTGGAAGAAAAAAAAAGAAAATTATCTTATATAAAGTGTCGAGCTTTCTATACTGCATCTTTTAGTATATTTGGTGTTTTTCTCATACAACATATTAAGCGTTTGAAAACTGAAATACAAAATGCAGTCATTTAATATGCTCCATCCATTATGATCTAATGGTATCAGCTAGTTTTACACAAAAACAACTCTTATCAAACTGTTTTCTTTTTATTTTGATATTAAGTGAAGATTGATCAAATACCAGAAAAAAATAGAGATTTATTTTCTCTATCACTGCATTAAAAAAAACGAAATTTTTTCAAGCTTTCTATACGGAAATAAGATAACGATGGCACTACTGTTTGTATACCCTAACTATAAAATACAATGTTATTAATGAAGAATTCATTCTATGTCAGATGAAAATAAATTAGTTTAATCAATAATTAATAATCACTTTTTTAAAAATTTTCTATGTAAACAAAGTGCGCATTATTGATATTATTTACGACAATAAATCAAGGATTCGACATCTATGGATAAGAAGTACAAAGAAAAGCAAAAAACTAGGTCAATCAAAAGCAAATATAGAATAGACGAGATGATGATATTAACGATATATGTTATAATAAAGAATAGAAAAGAGTAGACAAATCGAGGTACATATTATGTGATTATACTATAATAGACTACAAAGACATATTCGAACAGAGAAAAGAGAGAATAAAATATAGATTTGAACAATGTGTTACATCACTATTTAAACAGAGAGAAATAGACAAAATTCGTTTCACATTTAACTATTATTCGTTTTTAGATTTGGTGCAACAACAAACAAGTATCTATCGTTATACTTGTTTGTAAACACTATTTTTATTGAAGACGTTGTTTTCATCATGTCGTCTTCAATGAATATTTCCATCAGCGATGCACTAAATAAAGATGAAGAAACCAATTAACTTCTCGAACAACTTGATCAGATTCTTAAAGGATCTGAAACATATATCGATTCAAATAATCCATGTCACGAAGTATGATTCTTATTTCTTCAAATTTCTTTTACATTTATTCTTAATAGGAAATGTGAATTCTTGATGAAAAAAACTGAAGAAGGACCAAAAATTATCAAAAATGAAATTGCTTATGTATCTCATCTTGATAAAATCTTCGATGAAATTCTTGGTAAAACAATCTGTATTATTCAAAACTATCACATTTTCATTTTCTCTATTCCATTTAGTCAATATTATTGATAATAAACAATGTCATTCAACAATGACATCCATCGAAGTAGATATCAATTAGTAAGTATTTTTTTTCAAACAAAACTAAACTCTATTATATAAAATATCATTTTAGATTAAAAGGTGAAATAAAAATTTGTAATGATGATCGTGGTATACGTGTTCATAAATGGATTCAAGATGAATCAATCTATAGTCCAATATTCATTTTTGGCAAACGTCTCACATTAGATAATTTCAATGATAATCAAAAAACGAATAATCAGTACGATTTCAAGGTCATTGAATGATTCTTGTTTTCATTTTTATTTATTACAATAGATGATTGAAATGGTTATGATGCAAAAATAACAAATATTTTTTAGTACAAAATTTACCGTTGAAACATCTTCAAAAGGATATTTAAAAAAAATCATTTACACAAGTACGTTTTCTCTTTCTATGTATTGCTTATTAAAAGAATACAAATTTATTTAGATTTGGTCAAACAATATGTGTCATCCATAAGATACAATTATCAATAAAACATGCCATAATCCAAAAGAATTTACTCGTATTATATTTATATCGGATTTAAAACGATTTCAAATGGATAAATTCGATGATGATGATCTTGTTTCATTATTTAAATGGTGTGCCTATAATGTAGTTACATCAACTGGTTGTAAAATAACACTTAATGGTAAATGTATTCCCATAAGATTTTTTTCAATTCAATTTCTAAAATTTTTTTTTTGTTTCTTTTTTGTAAACAGATGATATATGGTGATGTATATTGAAACAACAGAAAAAGAAATTGTTTATGAAAAAAAGTCAATGATTGTTGGGATATTGGTGTAGCCAAAAATGATTATAATGATGATTTTCAACAAGCCAGCTTTGTTAATGCAATCTTAACATCAGAAAATGGTAAACATATTGATTATATAACTGAACATATATGTCCTAAACTTGTTGAACATATAAAAAAGAAAAGTAAAGCTGCTGCCGCTGCTGAAAATCTTAAACCAATGCAAGTTGAAAATCATTTGTTTAAACGTGTTAATTGTTTAATTAAATATCCGGAATTTGAATCACAAGCTAAACAAAACAAATTAGCAACTGAAGGTAAACATTTTTGTTGAACATTTCCATTAAAAGATGATAAAAATTTTTTTTTAAAGGTATTATAAAAAAAATCGGAATTGTTCCATTATTCATTAATTGGCTTGAACATCCACAAGATGCTAAATTACAAAAACAAAATGGGTCAAAGACATCGAAATGAAACGGTACATCAAAATTAGATGAATGCAAATGTGGCTGGTCTTGGTGTTATTGATCATGATCGTTATGATGTTTATCCATTAAAAGGTAAAATATTAAATGTTCGAGAAGCCTTAAATTAAAACAAATCAATTTTTCTATAGGTAAGACTTTACCTTTTGCTTTTTTTTCTAGTCTTCTTACCATTACCATATTATTATCTGATAAAAATGATCAGCTATTATTAACATATTTAAATGAAGATGGTATGAGATGAGTATTGAATCTAAATGATATTGTTCACTTATTCCAACTGTTCTTATTACCGATGCTCACATATCCTCACCTCAGCTCACGCTTACCACAAGCTCTTTAAAAATAAATCTCTTTTTGTTTATTTTAAGATTTAAATTTTTATTGAAAAATATCTATTATCGATCATATCGGATCGAAAATTTTTACGAGCGATGTTAAGTCTCCACAAGCGTGTATTTCCTGAAAAATATGATCCAATGATGGTTTCAACTCACTACTGTCTTATAAAAGAAGGTTTCGTCGTCGACAATGTTCCAGACGACGTAAGAATTTCTGTATATGTGTTTTTCTTTTTTACTTGTTTAATTTCTAGGACAACGAGGTGTTGCCGTTGGATAAACGTACGTCTCTACACTTAAAAGTTGGTTATCGAAAAGATAGCATCAATATTCAGGCAACATATGCGTTAGATCAAAGATATTATTTTATAACTTTAACAGTAAAATGTTTTAATATTAAAATTTAATTGGCAAAACTGTTTTATTTTTTTAGATCAATGAAAAACCACCCAATACGTTTTTATCAATAGCTTCTTATGTTAATGACGGGTAATCTAAATAATATTTTTTTGGTTTAATAAATTTTTTTTCCAAATATTTTAGAATGTTATTCGATGATGAAAATTTAATCAACGTATTAAATGAGTTCATCAAGGCTTCTCTTAATGATTTTGAAACATGTCAAGATGGTAACACTGGTAAAGATGGTAACGCCGACAAAGGTGGTAACGCCGGTAAAGGTGCCATAGGGGACATTCTAACATGAAATAAAAATATTTCATCCTCAAGATAGTTTTTTGTATCTCGATTTTTTTAAAAGAAAATCAAAGCAGATCGTTAATAAATCTTTTCGATCTTTTAATTCATTAGTACCAGATGTAGATGTAGCAAGAAGATTAAAAAGAATTATTAATGAACAACAACTTATTATTTTAAGAAGTCGATGTGCAGTAAGGAAAGGAATGTTTGAAAGATGCTTGTTTATCTTTATCAATTTTAGTCTATTATGAATCAATGTATCCCGCAATATATAAATCATGACATTCGAGTTCAAATGCAACATAAGTCTTAACGATTATAGCACAAATATTCTTTTCATTTGTCAAAATAACTACATATAACAAGAAAAGAAATTATGATTTCAAGAACACCTTGACATTTTAGATAGTATATTTAAGAAAAAGGATATAATTGAGAAGTTTTTCATTTATGTTTATGTATCTCTTACTATTACATGATTCTTGGTGTTGATCGACGGTTCCATATTTTCGACCGTTTTATTATACTAATTTCATAATCATTTGTTTAAAACTCTAATTCTATTATTAACTTATATTGTAGTGATTGCACAATCCTATGAAATGCACTATAAGTTCATCCTAAAAATATTTTTTCCTAGATAGAACAGAAGAAAAAATTTTTGCATCCTGTTGTATTCAAACGTACATACTGATAGAACGACTAGATTTGGTGAATATATCGGGTCATGAAGTTGTCCATCAATGAAATTCTGCATGAGTCAGAAATATAAAATGTGTACTGCACTTTTCTTTTTTTTCATTATGTCAAAGAAATGTTCGTTATTTAGATGAAATGTATGCAGAAGTTTGTGCTTTTTTAACAAATAATAAATATTTTGAATTACCAAATTATCGCATAAGAGTTTTTCTTTATTATGATAAGGATATAAATATCAACAATGTTCAATAAACTTTAGAGACATACAATTAGTACAACAATTGTATGTTGTTTTACAATTTTGATTGGTCTATGTTTTGTTGGTATTCGAATTGGCAGACATTTGGATTGGAGGTGTGTTTTATTATGGGTGATTCCATGATGACCCTACCACGTTTACATTGACCACGTC